TTTTTTAAATGAGAAAATTGAAATTGTGTTCCTAATCATATAATTTTCTTATTTACAAAGAACTACATCTGGGCATAGTAAAAAGTTCTGGATCTTCAGCAGAATGTGATTTAACATGAACCTTCAGAATTGTTCAGCAGAAGTGTGTTAACTGTGTTTATACATGGAAACGAGAATTAAAGAGGAGACTCTTATTGTGTATTCTGAGATAAAGATAACCTCACACAACAAACTTCACTCACACCTGATAAAACTCTTTCAAAATGTGATTTAGAATATGTGTTAATAAAAGTTAATGTGAGTAAATCAGTGATTTTTAAATAATCAGGTAACCAAATCCTCAGGACTATTTTTCTAAATATTATTAGACTTTTCACCTTATCAGAAATAATTATGTTTCTTAATCCAACTCATTCTATGAAACAAGCATAAAAGTAATATAAATTTTTTTTAGAAAATCTGGAATATATTATGTAAATACACTGGATATTAATTAATACAGCTGGTTAAATTACAAACTGAAGACAATAGAGGATCATTAAGATGTTTGAATTTGGGACCAGGCAAGGTGGCTCACACCTATAATCCCAGAAACTCAGGAGGCTGAGATAGGAGGATGGTGATTTCAAAGTCAGCCTCAGCAAGGGTGAGATGCTAAGCAACTCAGTGAGACCCTATCACTAAATAAAATACAAAATAGGGTTGGGGATGTGTCTCACTGGTCCAGTGGCCCTGAGTTCAATCCCCCGTACCCTCCCCAACAAAAGATGTTTGAATTTAAAAGATGGAACTATACAAAAAAAAAAGTAACGCAAAATCACAGGAAAAATATATTTGGGGAAAAAATGTTCTTGAGCAGAGAGCATCAGTAGCTGATCTTTCCATTGGACATTCTCATTTCTTTAGTTTTTGTGACTGACATTTATTCAGTTTTTGTGACTGCATGAGAACAGATGATTTCCCATGTGTAAGCTGAAGACCATTGGAAATGACTGGAATAGAACTGTAGTGAATATTGACTTTCAGGTGATTAGAGATGCCCATAAGTATTTATCATTATAGAAAATATTACTTCGAGAGATGAAGAAGAGTTTACAGTAAGTACAAAACTATGGAAACATAGATGCCACCTACGACTTCAAGGAAATATTTGTGTTCAAACATAAAACTGGAAAAAGTTCAAGAGTGAAATTATAGAATGGGGTGAGAGGGAGCTGATACAGAAGACAAGTGAATTTTGAAAGCTGGAAAGAGGGTTGAAAATTAGTGACTTGCATAGAGGACAGGGCTGGGGCAGATATGAGAACAGATGAAGAGGTTGAGGGACCTTGGGGACTAGATCAGACTTAGAAACCAGAAAATTCTCAGGAAAGATGCTCTTGGTGGGGCTGCCAAAACTTGCCTTCATCACCATGGGGTACCTTTCTGATCTTGCTCTTAAATGGACTGTATGTGCTGTCATAATAAAATAGGAAAACAATTGCCCAGAAATACATTTAGAGACATATATAAAGTTGGTAGTAAGAAGATTGCTACCCTATAAAATATGACAGGGTAAAAGAAAACTAAAAGAAAGCTTGAAAACCCTCACCAATTTGCATGTCTATGCTGAAGTACAGATGTGGCTGCTGTAACATGAAACAATACAAGCCATATAGAAGAGAATAAATATCTAGGATTATGTAGTAAGACAAGCTTCTGAAAGTCCCATTCATATTGTAGAAAAAGAAGTAATTGTTAATAATAGTTAATAACTAGCAGTTATTAACATGAAGTTGATAACTTCGTGTTAATTCTAAATTGTAAATGTCCATACCTATTCTGAAAATGTCTGTTCCATCATATGCATTTATTAATGTTCTGCATTTGTCTATTACTGGTGACAAGCGCAGGCAGGTAGAATGGCTTGGAGGAAGCAAGTCACAGGGGCATGTTTTGGGTTTGTTTTGTCCCTGGCACCTTGATCCCTCTGCCTCTGGTTACCATGAACTGAAAAGCTTTCCTCTGCCATGCCCTTCTGCCATGATTTGCTTTACCTGAGGCCCAGAACATTGGAGAAGGCTGACTATGGACTGAGAACTCCTAAACTGTGAGCCAAAACAAATTTTTCCTCTAAGTGATTCTGGTCAGGTATTTTGGTCACAGCAACACAGTAGTCAAGGAATTTTTGCATATGCTGACAAGCTGCTTAGATGAGTGGTGTTCCGTGTATGTATATTTTTTCATCCATATTTATTCCAAGTTCTCCAACCTGTTTAGTTCTATTTATATTCCCATGTTTTTTTGACATTTCTTTGCCTATCTAAAATAATCTCTTTCCTTCTCATTTGTTGACTCTGCACTATCCAGCATGCTGCTAAATAATATTACTTCATTAAGTTTTCCTAACAACTACTACATTTCCTCATAATGGGGCATTTTGTTTCATTTGAATCTTATTTTTTGTATTACTTTGTGGATTAGACCCATATAATCTAGGTTACAGTTATGCACACAGTAGGATGTATATTTAAAAAAAATTGCTTTCTGCCATTAACAATGTATTTGTTCAAACTAAAACCTAATAGTGGAGAAAAATTTAATAATATTATCTATAATATCACAAAATGTATTTTATCGATAAGGCAATACCACAGATGTTTTGCTTAGGCATTAAAAAATTACAATTTATGGACATTACTTATTTTTGAAATATTTTTAAACTAAAAGTTAAAGATATTAAAAATAATTGTTTAATTAACCTATTACATAGTCTATTAGGATATCTCATAAATAGTTTAATTATTCATGTTCAAATATGATATGATACAAAATTTCCAAATGAATTTTATGAATGTTTAAGAAACAAAAATGCCTGATTCACACCAGGCATAAAAGTATCTCTGACTTTGGATGGCAGTTATTTTTAGCCTGTATACTCTTCTTTTCTTTCTTGTCATTGAGCTTGTGTAAGAAAAATAAGAGAATATGGAGAAAATTAAAGGTGCAAGAGTTTAGGAATTTTCCTTTTTTTTTATTTTAGATCAGTTTGCTCATATTTTCTGTGCTCCTGCCCACTTGCCCAACATTTTTCTCAGTGCTGATGAATCCCGTGACTCACTGTTTACATATTTGGAATAAAAAACATTGAGTAAAATGCCATTTATTTCAAATTAAATTCTTAGCCTGGTCTTTTCCATAAGCAGTTGATCACAGGAGATAAGCCACTCAGAGGTTAAGTGAGAAAGCATAGAATTATTCTATTTACAGTACCACATTCTCTCTCTCCCTTGAAGCTGCCATCTAGGATTTAACAGTTAATAATTACTTGTGGGGAACAAGTTCATTTTTCATAACTGCAGAAGCCCAGTCTTATGATTAATAATAAGATTCCTTGTTATAATGACATTGGCCATTTAACATACTTAGGTATTAGGTGGATTTACATTTCTAGAAAGTTAAAGAAATTATATTTCACTTTCTTTTGCCTTTAGAAATGACAAGAATGGGTGGGGATAAGAGCAATGAAACAAGCCTACATCTTAAATTTTAACTAAAATTTTCATGAAAAATGATTAATGATTTTAATTATAAAATAACTATCCTTAATTTATTTTATAATAAAAAATATAATTCAACATAAAGTTGGATGTCATGAATATACTAATCTAAGGGGTCAAATTATACTACCTGCATTCTAATATAAAACTTCCCTCATTGGTCCTTTTGCTTCTCAATTCCTCCCTAGAGGTAAACATTTACAGATTTAATTTTTTATTTTGGTATTTATGTCCATATTTCTATATAAAACTTTTATAGAGCTATTAAGCTTTAGGTGTGTCCTACACTCCTTCCAATTTGTAAATTTTAGCTTTTTTACATGTGTATGTACTTACAACATGAAACACACACATACACACACATGTACACACACACACAGACTCACTTCATTCTCTCTACTATTAGAGGGTTGTACCTGTTTTTATTTTGTCGTTGTTGTTATAAAAACAGTGGTGGTAATATCTGAACTTTTTTTTTTAAGAGAGAGAGAGAGAGAGAGAGAGAGAGAATTTTTTCAGCATCTTTTTTTTTTTTTTATTTTTATATGGTGCTGAGGGTGGAACCCAGTGCCCCGCGCATGCCAGGAGAGCACGCTACCACTTGAGCCACATCCCCAGCCCCAGTCTGAACATTTTTTATAGCTGTATCAAATAATATACTATAATTTTCTTTTAAATATTTTTAACTTGCAATTAATAACTGCCTTAAGTTTTCTTTTACTTAAATTATTGCATTTACATTAGTTAAAGTAAAAATGAATGCATTTAAATATTTTTACATAACTTAACTAATGAACCGTTTGATATTTTTTCTTGGAACCAGCCATCATTTTACACCAGGCTTCACTGGTATTCCCTGAGTCTGTCTCCCTTTGCTTCTCTGTAATTGTCCCCTTGCCAACTTAGTGGGTGGTCTAATGATCCCTCTCCTATATTTCATGTCTCCTTTTTTTTTTTTCAGATAAATAAAATGTATTATTATTTTATTAGCAACTTTTAAAAGCTCCTGCAGCGGTGTGAGTTACAGCACATACAACTAGTTTCATATATTTATTTTATGTGTTTAGCACTTAATTCACACCAGCTTGCACTGCAAGACACTCAGCCATAACACATTTTTACTGGGCTGTGATCTTCCACATTAGTCAGATTACTGATTACCCAACCAGCATTTCTAGGGAACAGTCATCTTGTACCCAGAAGTTGCTGTTCTTTTTCCAACACTGTCTGTCCATCTTTCTTAATGTATGGCTTGGCTTCCACGTTGCAGTCTTTCATCTCCAATCTTTCATTGGTGTTTCTTCTACGTTTCTCAGAGTTCTTTCACATCTTCTATCATTTTTGTACTTCTCAAGACATTTTATACTTGGCTAGGAAACACTCCTAAACTGTATATCAGCAGCAATAATTCCAGTTCATGGTGAAGAGTTGAATATTTTCCCTTTCAGACCAAAGAAAATAATTCCCACTATAGCCCATAAGGCAGAAAGCTCCACATTCAATCTTCAGCATCATCAAACTGTCCCGTTTCAAAGACCATCTTGGAATAGTGGGGTATCAGTGGAGGTGGATGGTGCCAACTGGGGTCATAGATTATGTCTCCTTGTGGGGCACAGCATACCCAAGGTTTGATCTCTTGAGAAATGCTCCCCTGGATGTCGTCAGCATCATAAGGATTTCCTTGATCCGCTTTCAACTCCCAGTCCCAGTCCTCATTGAAAAGATCAGCCGTCTGCTCCTTGGGCTGACAGTGTGCTCCTTCTGACAGCTCCCAGGTATTCAGTTCCCCATCAGACTCCTCCTCTTCCACAGCAAAGCCTTCCTCTTCAGAATGTGTGCCTTCACCATGGGTAGGAATGTCATTAGGGATGCTCTGTGCTCCACTGGCTAGTCGATCCATGGCAGCATCAGTCTCTCTCTCCTGATCAGGGTGGTCCACTGTGCCAAAGCCAGCCTCCGGAATGGGGGGAGCCTCCTGCGCGCTCTGCAGCTGGGGGCCCCGCGGCGGCCCAGCGGCCCCCAGAGCCTGGGACCCGGCCGCCAGAAGGTCCATGCCCGGCTGCCCGCGGCTCGGCGCCCGGGACGCAGCGCGGCCACCTCATGTCTCCTTTATGGATACCATTATTTCCTTTTTTGGTTTACTCCTTTAAGTTATGGGTATCCACTAGTAGCTTTTGAAACCATTTCACGAGATGCATAGTTTGGGAGATCTGCATATGCTTTCATTCAATATAAAGTTTAACTGGTATTGATCTCTTCTTTTGAAACCATTTTCCTTCATTATCTTAAACACTCTGTCTCCATTGTCTTTTGTCTTCCAGCCTCGCTAATGCAAAGACTGGTGTCAATCAAATCAGTAATCATCTCTGTAGAATTTTATTTTTTCTTCTCTGTAGATTTTAGGATTATTACATTTTTATCCAGTATTCTGGATTTTCAGAGTGTTATACCATATAATGGGTGGTATTTTGATATATTTTGTTTGTCTTTTTTTTTTTAATTTATTTTATTAGAAGAAAAACTGTGGAAGTCAAAGGTGCCATTCTCAGATCATCATTCCAGGTACATTTACTCCAGAAATCCTCACTGCTATACCTCTTCAACCTCACTGGTGCTCAGCTCTTTCCCAAGGCTGTACTGAAACAACCTTCATCAGTAAGTAGCTTGAATTGTGTGATCCATCTGGAACTTCCTTTTGAATTCCAAGTTTCCTCTTTCTTTATACCCTATGTCCTCATCTGATGATGCAATACACAATGGCACCTCTCATCTTTTTGTGCTGTACTTTCCTGTGAACAACTGAGTTTTGATGGATCAAAGGATTCTGCTTGATTTTTCCCAGAGAATATTGTTTCTTTTTCCCTCTCCTCAAATATTTTTTACTGGTGTACATGTGTACTTCACTTCTGATAACTTTTCTTCTATTATTTCTTGGATTTCTTGAATAATTTCCCTTTTACTTCCTTTCTTCCAACTCTCCTATTATTTAGATATTTAATTTCTTGCACTAATCCTATCTCACACCTTTACTTTTCAATTTGCCATCTCATTTACTTTCTAATTCTAGAAGACTTTCTGAACGGTTTCTATCAATTTTTTATTTCCTAATGTTGTATTTTTAATTTAGAAACTCCCTTTTATTTGTTTGTTTTTAATTTTAATAGTATCTCGTTTCATGGATTAAAAATTTTAGCTCATTGATTGCTTATTAATTTTTAAGTGGAGTATTTTTTTTTGTTTTCATTGTTTGTTATATTCACCATCATTATTTCCTGATATTTTGTGACCACTGAATGTTCTTTGGCATAGAGAAGAAGATTTCTAAGAGCACATTGGGAAGTATGGGCATATTTGTGTGCATGATGGGACTGGTCAAATGCTGTTTTTTACCATATGTGATTAGGCAAAGTTATATTGTTCAGAAGTCCCACTTTATTAATTTTTTGAATATTTTCTTTTGTAATCATTAGTTATCTCAGAGCAGAATGTTCTACCATCTTTCTTCCTGACTATATTGGCTTCCACCATCCCAAGAGATAACTAAGTGGACTGGAGTTACTACATTTAGTAGTTATTCACCTTTTTTTCTGAGCTTCTTTTGTGCTGGTGTAGCCAAGTCAAGGTATCCTATAATTCAAATCCACCACCCACCCTGCAAAAATAAGGGAAAAAAAAAACTCATCTCAGAAATTGATGCCTGCATGAGTGAAAGGAGGATTTCTGGCTGCTGATTGAGTTGAAAAGAAAGTAACATTCCCTCCAATAGACAATCTCCTTTTTATAATGAGCTGGTCAGCCACCTTAACTACATGCAGCTGGTGCCTCCAGTTTGAATGTCATCCTAATCTTCTGCAGGAGGGACCAGCTTGCTTCTTACTGCCATACACTCTGACTTTAAAAAAAAAAAAAATTTCTAAGATAGTTACTAAGACCCATTCACATTAGCATCATCCATATTGAATTATTCTCTTTTGTTATCTTTCAGAGCTTCTTATGATCTGTGTGTTTGTCCCCTCCAAAATTTATGTTGAAAATTAATCAGCAAATTCATACATTGACAATATTTGCAAGTATAGGCTTTGAGACATAATGAGATGAGATTCTAAGGGTGGGTTGCATGATTGCTTTAGTGATTTTATAAGAGGAGGATGAGACTCAAGTCGGCAAGCTTGCTTTGTCTTTTCATGGGATGCCCTCTGCATGTCACAATCCATCAGGAAGACCCTCACAGGATGCCAAGCAAATATCAGCACATGTTCTTGGACTTCTATAACCACCACTATGATAAATATATTTTCCTTACAAAATTTGCTGTGATATTCAGAAAATGGACTGAGAGAGGATTATGTATTTATTTTTCTTGGTGGCATAACATTTTATTTCTTTCAAAGAAGTTGAGAGAAAGCAGATGTAAATTTGTGCTCAAATTACTGTGTTTAAATACAGAGATTATCCATATATGCCATCAGCTTATATATGAACTTAAATTGGTTCTATATCCTCAAACAGCAGTGAATTAGCCTATGAAGTTTGAGTGGCTTCAAGTGTGCCTGTTAAAACAAGAAGCTCAAGAGCTAAGAAAAAGTTGGCCTTTGTCTGAGACTTACTAAATCAGAAGCTCTGGGTACAGGATGGGGAGAAAACTACTGTATCTGGCCTTCCATCTGGCTTCAATTCCCACCTGTACAACCGCAATGCCTTGGTACATTTATTGAGCCATAGTACCTCACAGATAGGTATGGATTTTTCTAACATACACTTTTCTAACTTACATTTTTACTAGAAAACTGCTTCTAAATGAGTTATGTGTCTTAGTACCTCTCTATTTTTAAGTACCCACAAAAGGTCTTGGAAAATGTGTAAGAAATTTTATTCCTCTTTTAGAAAACATATTTACTTTTAATTGATAGATGTTGGTACCCTGCACCACAGTTCTTGAAGTACTTTCTGATTTTTTTTCTGTGATAATACCAAATATATTTTTTCTATTCTTCTGGTGCTTTTCAGTTTGGCTGATTTTACTATAATTGTTGAAATAGTAGCTTCTCAGGTCTTTAATTAAGTAAAATAAATAATTGTAGTTGCTTAGACTCTTGGTTCACACATTTTGGAAATTTAAGTTTTATCTAGATATAATAACCACTTTACAGGATTTCTGTGGCAATTCTTATAAGAAAAACATATTCTAACTTATTTATTCACTCATTCATTTAATAAAAAGAAAAGTGTTCTTTCTAGGTTTCAAACACTAAACTGGATGTTGACTTTAAATTAAAAACAATAGAACTGGTTGAGAGTTGATAGATATTTTTTTAAAAATGTAATGATATTGTCAGAGGAACTGAGAGTCATCCTATTACCTTGAACATACATTTGTTTTCAGCAAAGATAATGATAGTATTTAGAACTTTACTATTTCCTCTAAGCTTCTGATCATTTCTATGATTTAATGCCTTGTCCAAACTACCCAACACTCAGAAAAAAATTGGCTCAGGGGGTCCAAGAGATATGCTTTTCTTCTTTCTAAATATCCTCCCAAACTTATCCTGAGAAAGAGTAGAGAAAAGTGAGAAATAAATTATACAATGTTATGGTTTGCATATGAGGTTTCCCCTCACATGCAACTGAAAGACCTGACCTGCATAATTGTAGAGGAGGAAAAGTTTATTTGTGGGCTCACGGTTTCAGAAATCTCAGTCCAAGAAGTCCACCACCATTCCTTGGGGTCCAGGTGAGGCTGAACTCATGGGGAAGAGTGTGTTGAAAGGAAGTGGCTCACATGATGATCAAGAAGCATAGAGAGACAGAGAGCTCTACCTGCTAGATACAAACACATACCCCAAAGCCACACCCCCAATGACCACCTCCTTCAGCCATACCCCACCTACCTCCAATTACTACTCTATTAATCCCACCAGGGAATTAATTCACTGATTGGGTTAAGGATCTCAACAACCCAATAATTTCCTCTCTAAACTTTCTTGCATTATCTTACACATGAGCTTTTGTGAGACACCTCACATCCAAACCATAATACCCCAAACGTTCATGTGTAAGATAATGCACAAATATTCAGAGGTAAAATAATTAAATAATGAAAGTTGTAACCTATTCATTGGATTAATCCACTATAGTAGTTACAATAGTAATTACTATAGTATATAGTATATATTAATTCAGTTACTAATATATTTATTACTATAATTATATAGTAATATAGTTACTATAGTAATTAACATAGTAGTAAATATAGGCAGGTAGAATGTAACTGGAGGAGGTGGGTCGCTAGGGGTTTATTTGTTTTGAGGTTTATATTTTGTCTCTTGTGAACAGAGCTCTCTGCCTCTTGATTGTAATATTCTCAGCTGCTTTCCTCTGCTACAAGCTTCTGCCATGATATTCTGCCTCATCTTGGGCCCAGAGGTATGGAGTGCCAACTATGGCCTGAACCTCAGAAACTATCAGCCCAAATAAACATTTCCTTCTCTATGTTGTTCTTGTCAGGTCTTCATATCCCAGTAATTCAAAGCTGACTAAAACATATATTTAGGGGTTTTTAAATTAATGCTTTTCAAAGTTACTCTATAATCATTCATTAACACTAAAGGGTCAAAGAGAATGGAGTTATGATTATTTCAATAGAATATTGCTCTCTCACTGAAATGATAAAAATGAAAAAGAAGGTCATTAATAGAATGAAAATTGACACCCAAGGTAGATGAGACACAAGGGAAATAATCATGTAGAGATGTTGATTGAGATGATGTCATAACATGGGACAAAAACAATATTATTGGAATATTGCCAGTAATACAACATACTCAGTAAATTTACTTAATTGATTTTGGCAAAATTGAACACACGTAAATTTATTTATTTTATACTTAGGAAACATGCTCCAAAGTTGGATTAATAGAAGAAACTAAGTTAGTACTTAAAAAAAAATAAAAGAATAAAAGTTATCTTCTGTTTGTCTGTCATTTTTCTTTCTTGTTCATAGGGTGCTAGTGAAAGATAATAATGCTATAAAACCTACTTTATAGCACAAAGAGATGACTATATGTCATCGACCATGTTTTATAGCATGTGTCAGCC